TCAGTTCTGCCTGAAGATTCATAACTCCGCAGTGCAATTTACAATTTTTATTCCAACTGCATACATCATATTTTTGTCTTTTAGAGTTAATTGTTATCCTACAAAACTCTGTCCTCAACAATTACTTTCCAAAGGGTGCTCAGAGAACAAGGCACACACCAGCATCCTGTACAGGGGAGGTCCCAAAGTACCTAGTTAACACCTCCAGAGTGATGAGCTATGAAAATTAAGCCACAGGATCCTTCTGTAAATTGTGATCCCCTGTGGAAATCACACTGCCTGGGAGGCAAGAGCAGCTACAAGAAACTTCTACTCTGAAACATCCTCCAGAGGAGCTCCTGCCTCACTGAGAAGGGCTTCTTTCTCTCTTGCCCCTTGGAAATGCACACAGAAATGTGGAGGGTAGGGAACATGATCACCTGCCCTTCAGTGGCTTCCTCAGGGATTAAGGAGAATAGCAAGAATTTTTACATATGAAGTAGTAGAAAGTTAAACTTCAAAATGGCAAGGGTACTAATAAGCAACATAATAGTTCAGAACTAACTAAGCTATTCTATGATTCTTTTATTCTAAGCTGCTGTGAGTAAATTTTAAAAAGGCAGTTTGAAATACCTAGGATTTGGGTATTTTAAAAAACTGATACAGCATCTGAGAAAATCTAAATTGTGTTAACTTAAAACCTGCTTGATTATGAGAGACAAATGGCACATGCAGTGAAATACATCTCAAGGACTTTTAACAAAGATTAAACACACTAAACCGTGATTTCCAAAGTCTTGGAGAAAAGGCAAAGGGCTGCTACAAAAGTCAGGGAAAAGGAACAATGTAACTTAGTGTTTTTATTGGAGAGCCAATGAGAAATAAATGGAATAGTAAATATGTTTGCAGGTCTAAAGAGGAAAGATTTAAAACATCAGAGTGCACAAGCAAATAAAATTATTTAGATACTAGAACACAGACAGCTAACAAAATGCAGCCCATTACATCACCATGAACTACCTGTAGACAGTTATGTGGCATGTAAGGTTTATTTAATATGGGAGGAAGAAAAGCACTCTCTCCACCTGAAGACCTGCCAAATAGACAGCATTGTGGACAGAGCAGTCCTGTGACATGGTGCCTCCCCTGCCAGATAAATATTAATCACCCACTCTTGCTTTATCTATAAACACAGGGCTCAGGACTTCCCTGAATTAATCCTTGTTTGGACTGCATAGGGGATTGGATGGGCTAAGAACATCATGAGCCATCAAGGTTTTTTTCCTCTGCTATCACAAGAAACAATATTGCAAATATTCTGAAGTCCTTCTAAAACAACTTTCTTTCAGTGTTTGCTTTCTGCTGGAACGTATTTCCAGAATCTCATACTCACAAGTCATGCTCAACATAAATTATATTCTTTGATTACATGCAGTGATCCCTTTGGTAAAACTGCCTTTTAGCACAAATCTCTGTCTTCTCTCTGTCTACTCCCCTGTGAACTCCAAGCCAGCAGTAATACCTGCAATTACCCTTCATTTTGCTAAACCACCCAAGTTCTTTCAGTCTCAGAAAAAGAGCTCTCTGTGATCCTTAATCATCCAGGTAGTCTGAATTAATTTTCTGCAAGCATTGGTGAGACTTGCACGGTGCTCCAGGGGAAGCTCACTCGCTCCTCGCACAGGGGCACAAGCACTTTGCTGTCTCTGGGGCAGCCAGGAATCCCATAGGCCTCTTCCACAGCCTTGTCAGACACCATGAGACCAGCAATATAAACACCACAGGTTTTGTCCTTTTTTATTTTCCAGAGGATTGAACCTGATATACTGAGAAAATTTTTTTTTCACTAATAATATAGATTTTCAGTTAAAGACCAATCAGATACCCACATTCTGATTAAATAGGTGTTTACATCAGTTTTATATCCTCCCAGAGTCATGAAATATTGGGACAAATACCTCACAGAACCTGAAAGTATGTTACAGTGTCAAATATTATCAGCCTAGTCTTTTGATCAGCTTAAGCATCAGCTAATCAGCAAAAACTGACTCCCAAACAACCGTGTAGCTTGACATTAACTGTATTGTTCTAATTTAATTCTCTATCAAGAGGGTTCTGCATCAGTCACTCCATCTCTTTTCTTAGGAATAGAGATAAATGGATAGGCCTATATTGCCACAGCATTCAGACATCTGGATCTCAACCAGTGTTTCATAGATGACCAGCAATCATTGTTCATATTAAGAGAGCTCCTTTATCAGCCCTGTCCAAGCTGGGGTTGCTGGGTATTGACAACTGATACAGAAGCTTTAGCAGATGTGACTCAGCACTCCCCTGAGACACAGTGGAGTGGAAAGGATTTATTACATGATTAGCATATTAATACTGTCCTGCTTTTTCCCAAATACAGAATATAATATTGGCTGTTCCTACCTTATTTTCTCTCTCTTTTTTTTCCTCTTTTTTTTTTTTTTTTTTTAGTGATTCCTTCATTTCTGTCTGTTCACTTTGGTATAAGCTCTTCTTGTCCTCCTGTGTTTCAAAAATGCATAGCTGTTGTCTGCAAGCCTGTAGACCACATATTGGTCCCTTGATCCATTTGCTTTCTTATCACTTTTCTTCTTATCACTCTTTTGCAATTTATATTGTTATCAGCTTCTTCTTTCTCACATTTGTTCTATATTTTTTATACTTCTGTCACTCTTCCTTTAAGCCAAGCTGATTTTCCAATCACAATAATTCTCTTTTTCTGTAATAGGCTTTTTTGGTGCTCCTAAACAGTGTACAGTCTTCCTGCTTAAACTCTTCCTTGCAGAGATTTGATCCAGAATTTGTTTCAGTTTATGAAATCAGCCCTTAGGAAGGACTACCTATATTTAAAATGTTTGATATCACCTTGGAATGCAATCCACTAGCAAAAATGTTCCAAAATACTTTTAACCTCAGCAGATAGATAAGTTATATGGAGTGAAAAACTAACAGTCTTTTCCAATTTTGAATTAATAAGCCCACAGCTGGAACATTGTATATAGTTCAGAGTACATCTATACTGGACATCTGAAAAGACTTGAGGGAGAAAAAACTTATAAATCAGGACTGAGAGCATTTTTTAAGAATGCTTTAAATAATGAAATGGTTTTAACTAACTGACAAGTGGAAAAGGAGAGTAATCAAACAAGGGTCTATACGTATTTTTAGGGAGATACGTTGCTTGTAGGATTTAAGTAGAATATGGGGAAGAGGGAAAGCAGAGAAAAAAATTACAGAGGTATATTGGATGAGAGGGCAGGGAGTTGCTTGGTTCATTTAGGCTGAATTAAGATTTTATATGCCACTTATATATGGAACAGATTTTCTTCAGCATGGAGGATGTGGAGAAGATGAGCAAAGAGACATTTCATATTCTTCTGTCCCTGTTTTTGTATTCCTATTTTACTCCTTATAGGCACTGGGTATCCAGGCAGCTAAGTTAGCCAAGGTAGCTTGAACCCTCAGCACTGCTTCTCTGGATCACAGGGGATTTTCTGTGAGATTCATGTACTATATAACAAAGCAGTGAAAGAAAGGAAAAAAACATCCTTTCCACAGCTCTAACTTGGACTACCTCCAGAATCCCATAGCAGCAGGCAGATGTCAGCACCTCTTTTGGTCAATGTACAAAAAGCTAGGGTCAAAAATCCTCCTTGAACTGTGTGAGAATGTCAGACCCTCTTGCCAGTGTTTTGCAGCAGTGCAGCCCCAGGCCAGCTGAAACACTGGCTCTTTGCTATTGTTCTCACATGCAGTCCCCAACCAGGAAGCTTCCTCGTGTATTCCCACCTTTGGCTGGCCTCCCAAGACTTATTCACAGTAGTAACATCTGTCACAGAGCAAACTCAGTCAAAGTTGATCCCAGTCTCCAATAGTCCTGACCAGTCCTTCCTTACCTATCAGTAACAGGTCCATAAAACACCTCAGCTTGTCAGCCCCAGGAGTGAAGGGCTGGACCAGCGCTCAGCAGTTTAGTCTGAGCCAAGGCTCTGATGCACCAAGGTGAGCAGATCCCCGTGACCCACAGCACCAGCCCAGCTGAGCACACAGCTCCGTGGAGGCTGCTGGCTCCCTTCAGCACAAGCTGCTCCACCCATGAACTGCACCCAGGAGCTGCACTCCAAGCCAGCTCTTCCACTGGCATCTCCTTGGCACCTGCTGCAAAGCTGCCTGGCTGGCAATAACGGGGCTCGGCTGGAACAAAACCTCCCAGCACCCTTTGTCTAGGGCCCGCTCACAGGTCTTCCTACAAGCTGTCAGAGCAGGCAGATTCTGCTAGGAGCAGCCACAGCTTTCCTTAGCCACCCCTTCCTTAGAGCATCACCAGACATGCTAATGTTCCTCAGAAGGTTCCCTGGAGTCCCCCAGCAATCCCTGAAGAAGCTTCTAAAAGATCTTGAAGCAGAGCCAGGAAACTGCAGCAGTGAGTGCTGTGCCCATGGCCACCTTGGCTCTCTGGCCAGGGAGGAGGGCAGAGGGCAGCTTCTCTCACAGCCCTTCTTCAGCATGAGTTTTACCTCTTCACTTTTAATGAGGACTAACATATCAGCAACAAAGCACAGTCACAATCAAATCACATCACAAATTAAAAAATAGTTGATGAGATTTTGGCAAACACATGAATTGCCAAGTGCCCCTGCCTTGTTTGCCATCAATTCATTAAGTTTAAAGTATGGCACATATGATGGTCTAAAATGGGAGTGGGGGTGGGGGTGCCAGGAAAGGGAATGGGGCAAGGAAAGAAGGCACTGCTTACTCACTGCACAAAATGGCCAGTGCTGTTCCCCCTTGTGGAAGTCACTGCACCATTTCCCCAGCCCACAGAAAAGGTCTGGGGCTGAAGAGCCCCAGGTGAGGGATCTGTGGGTGGGTTCATCCCCATTGCCGGGTGAGGGGGTGGGGCAGGGCGTGAAGTGCCCCTATAAAAAGGTGCTGCTGAGGCTGAAGTAGTGGGCAGGTATTAGTCCTTGTTCCTGCTTGTTGCTTCCAGGATGGCTGGCTTGAGAGTGGACTTCAGCGTGCTCCTGGAGCCTCTGGGCTTTGTTAAGGTCCTTGAGTGGGTGAGTGGGGTTGTTTCCTCTCTTTCCCCAGGCCTGGCTTTGTTCCTGGGGCTGAGCTGGGTAGAGCTGAGGAGGTGTGAGCTAATGGGCTGCCACCTCCCTGTCCCCAGTTGCTGGTGGTGGGTGTCCAACACGAGGCTGCTTGTCAGCCAAGCCCTCTGGTTGGCAGTGAAGAAAATGCTTCTGCAGATACATAAATTCAGTGTGTTAATTACAAGTGTGTTACAGTACCTTATGGTACTGTGTGTTGTGTGTTCTGATGATCAGGGGTTTAGTGTTTGACTAGTGACCAAAGGGAAAATAAGAGCTACTTACAGAGTTAATAACGTGTGATACTCTGAACATGTACCTTCTGGTTACTCTAACTTACAGTTACGTATATCTGAGACTTGTAAAAATATTTCCCTGATCAACTGTAAGAAATAATGTGCTGGCTGTTAGCATTAAAAAAAAATTGAACCAAAACCAAACTCAGACAAAAAACTTTTTCCATACAACTAAAAATAAACACAAAGTGCTTTTAAATGGGCTGTTGTTAGCAGTGTTGCTTTTGGTTTTGGGTCACAGAAACTCAAAATTCTCTTCTTGATATCACTTCATACTTCAGCTTTGTCCCTATTTGTTGTCATCTTTAGCTGTTTCAGCTGAATGTTGAGTTTGTTTCCTTTGAGCTTAAGTGATGTGCACTAATGTGCCTCTGTATCAATTCCTGTAGATCTTTGCCATTTTTGCTCTTGCCACATGTGGAGGCTTTCAAGGTAAAACTACCCTTCTAGTTTCCTGCAAAGGTGTGGTAAACAAAACAGTTACAGCTGCTTTTGCTTATCCATTCAGGTGAGAATTAACTCTTCAGTTGTCACTGGGTGATTATTATTCTCTTTTTTCCCCCTGTCTCCTTATGATTATGTACTTATTGCACATATCTGAATGAAGATGTGAAGCTTCTGGATTCCTCTGTAGAAGCAATAAATAAATATTTAGTTGTAAGCGTTCAAAGCACTGTAGCTGTTAGTGCTTTATAGAAAGAAGTAGGTAGAAATGGCAGTGGGCTCTGTTACTATTTTGTATCTCTCCACCTTAAGCTCTAGTCTAGCAGTGCATGAATGCTACAGAAAGTAATTAGTAGGCAAAACAATACAATTAATTCCAACAGCCCAATTCTTCATCAATTTGTAGCTGCTTTGAAAGCCTAGATAAGATTATTTTGGATGTGCATTATCCTACTACTTTTACAAAGACTGAATGGAAAATACATACTTTTCAGTTTATTCCACCATTATCTTTCTGAGGGTGTTGGGCACAGAAAAACTAAATGCTTCAGTGTCACTGCAGTGCTCTTGTAGAGATAAACTCCTTTTCTGGAACAGGAGGAGGCTTCCTCTTTGCTCTTGCAGCTGCACAAATGCAACAAGCACAGAGTCAGTGTCTCATATGTGTTCAATAAACACAACTACTGAAATGGATTCAGAAGCCAACTAGTAAAAACCACTATGAAAGTATAGAATTTGGCCACAAAGCCCAGCATTGTTAACAGCATTTGGAGGGAAGAGTGGGGATCTGAAATGATTTTGTGCTAGTTACTGAGTGGTTAGTGCTAGTTTTGTGCTAGTTACTGCTAGTCACATGGGTTTTATTCATCTTCTGGGCTTGCATTTTCTTGTAGCTGAAGTGCAACTGTGCCTTTCAAGTCTTGATCCCCTTGTTTAATTGCCAGTCTAAAATTATGTTGTTAAGTCTGCTTCCAAATTGGAGTTCTTTAGTTCAATTAAATAAGATTACTATTCTTCTCCTGAAGGTACTACTGTAAACCTCAATGTAGGATGGGGAACAATCTTCAGATAGCTTGACAAATATGTTGTATTTGTCTGCTACATTATACAGATCTAAATAATCTTACAAAGTAGACTTACACAACCAGAATGCTGAACCACTGTTATTGTGAAGCATGACTGTATGAAGTTTCTATTATATAACAAACTTTAACTACATGAAGGATATAATCTTTGCAGGTTGAACACTGTTGAATTTAGTGCACCAGACCCAAAAGGCTGTGCTGGTACTTGGACTGATGTCCATCTCGTGGGCAACTTCTCCTCTTCTGCGCAGTTCTTTGTTACACTTGGGTCACTGGTGTTCCTCTACTGCATTGCTGCCCTTGTGGTATATATTGGATATAACCATGTGTATCAGCAAAATAACAAGTTTCCACTAACTGTAAGTAGTACTGAGATATTTTAATGTTTTGACTTTCAAACCACAAAGAGGTGGGAGATACTGCTACTGCAAGAATAACTCGTGAATATTCAGTAGTTCTGAAAGTCACGTGGAGTGCGAGCACAAATATCTTGGACTAGTTGCTACAGCACTCCAGCAGAAAAGGAGGCCCAAAGCCCTTGGACATCTATGGCATCATACCTTATGCAGTTACTGAGGCAGAGTGGAATGAATTTTCACCTCAGGTGAACAATGTCTTCACCACACCTTTTCGTTTGTAGCGTGTATTTGGATATACAGTTGTTTCACAGGTGGAACCTCTTCTGTTAATCTGTGAGAATTTTCCCTGTGTAGAGCACCTGCTGTGCAGATGCAGTTGGCAGAGGGAAATAGTTACCTTGTAAGTTTTCATCACCTTAAATATCGAAGCCTAGAATGAGAAGTTTCAGAGCATGCTCAGAAATGGGCCCAATGACCTCTCAGGCCAGATTTAAATCGTCTGCCCCTTCTCCCCAGTCACCCCCACTTTTACTGAACTTGGAGTAAAATTTTTATAATGTAGATGTTAGGCATCTGATTTTAGAAACAGATTTCTTATGAAGGATAAGACTGCTTATGTTTTATAGATGCAAAGGTTTTGTACCTGATCATCAACACTTGTGCTGTAATTGCAACATTTAGTTAGTGACTAAACTTGCTAATGATCATTAGCACTGATGCAGATGCATTGGATATAACTGATACTGTCTCTGCCTTGCTCTTGTGTACATTCCTGCTTTATTTTTAACCTACTAACAAATACTTCTCATGTATAGGACTTGGCTATCAGTGTCTTGACAGCCCTTCTGTGGCTGGTCAGTACTTTTGTGTGGGCAAAGGCACTAGCTGACATCAAAATGTCCACAGAGGCCAACATTATTCCAGGAATTGAAGCTTGCAAAGCACCAGGAACAACGTGTAATTTTGTTTCTGTGACCAGCATGGGAATTCTGAACTTGTCTGTGGTATGTATGCCTTTCACCATATGGGTACAATAAATGTGTTGGAAAATAACAAATGGCACCTGAGAGTCCTGTTCTACTGATTCCATATATTGCTTTGTGTTAAAATTGCTTTATATGTTATTAGTGATTCAGGCCCTCTAATGATGTGATAAAGCACCAACCAAATTCTTTTCTTTAGAAGAAAACTTAATTTCTTTGAGGAAGCAAGATAAACAACTTGTAGGGTCTATTTCTGGAGCTGTTAGATACAGCATTTTCAGACACATTTGAGTCCCTGTTATTTATGCCTGTACACAAGAGCACCTTAAAATGTTACTGAGCCACCCAAGTGGTTTGCTGACTGATATAAGTAAGGAAGAAACATTGATTCCTGCTGTCTTTTGGTGCCAAACCTAGCTTTTTAATCAACTGTGAGAATTCTTACACATCAAATCAAGGTTCCTTCTAATACAGTGATATAAACCTCATGTTCAGAGAAACAATGCTTCAGAGCAGAGCAAATTAGGTTTGTTGTATGATCTTCTTAGTGAACTGTGCTTTTCAAAGCCCTGGCTGTTATTCATTGTCCCAGTAATAATTAATCATGTACTCTGGGAGTGTATATGCAGAGCTGCTGAGTGACTGAAAAGAATTTGTCTAATTCTATGCAAAGGATAGAGAAAGTTGACTATCTGATCTCCAAAGAAGTCTGTTAAAATAGCTTGTCACACTCTAAAAAATGCCAAAATGTCTTGTCCAAGTCAAAAGAGTGCCAAAAATGGTAGCTGTTTATGGTTTGCAAGGCATGTCTTTTGTGGTTTTTTTTTTTAAAAAAAAGGTAAAATAACCAAACACAACAAACTCAATCTCACTATTTTTTTTTTTCCCCCCAACCTACAGGTGTTTGGCTTGCTTAATGCAGCTTTATGGGGAGGAAATGTTTGGCTTGTATACAAGGATACCAAGTTGCACAACCAGTGGAACAGAATTTCTGAAAGTCCAGCTGAAAGAGGAGTATAAAAACAAGTTGATACTTTAAAATGCTTCCACTTCTACATCTCACTGCCAAGAACATAGATTCATTAGGACTTGTTTCAATAATAACTGATAATACTTCATAAAAACTTCTGGGTTTGTACTATGGTTTGACATAAGGTCTTGCATATTCCAATTGAAGCACTTAATTATCTTGAAATATATTATGCCTTTTGAAATTGTGCAGTCTTATTACAGTTCTGAGGAGCAAAATTATGAGGTTATCTGAATGCTGACCCTTTCTGGTTCTTAATATAGCCTTATAGGAGGGATGGGTGAGAAGCAACTGTATCTGGGTTATTACTGCACCATCTTGAGATCTAACAAGCCTTGTCTGAAAAATGAAAAGTAAATGCAACCAGGGCATGGAAAAATGCAGTTTGGTTTCTTCCTATCACTGATACCTTGCAAAAGTCACGTGAGTAGAACTTGTAGCTCTGTCAGAGTTGGCAGCCATGACATGTAGGTTTCCATATACTGCATTCAGATCACTGTATCAAACCTACTGACAGGCCTGTAAGGAAGGACATTACTTCTGTGTTCAATTTGTTGTTACTATTGAATGGCTTGGGATGATCTCTAAGCAAGGAGAATTTTTTGGATGAGTTTATACTGAAACTATAGGCTGAGAGTTTGAATATGTGTGTGACAGATGAATTAAACACTTGAGGCAAAGTTGGGGAGAAAAAATAAAATACAGCCCAAAACTCTTATAAATACTGTAGAAATCAAAGCTGATATATTGTAACTGCTACTGCCTGAGCTGCTTCTATGTATTGCCTTTGAGGTGCATGAACAATGTGTGTGAAATAACATAACTGGAGATGTCTGAATAAGACTGATTTCTTCATTGGTGTTGTTCAGCTCATTCATAGGAAACGATATTTGGGTCTTCTCATGTGGGCTTCTTGCTTAGGTATCTGACTCTGTGTGAATTTCCCAGAACAAATGTTATGGCAAATCTAATAAACAAGCTGTTCACAGGCTGTTTTTGGTTTGTTTAAACTGTCTGTGATGAAAATAGACATAGTAGTACATATAAACTTGTTCTGTGTGCCCGAGCTACTCACTTTCTGATAGTAAATTTACAGTCCAAAGAGTATAATAAAGGCTATATGACTGTTGCTGAATAATTGTGCCTTGGGTCCTTACTGCTGTAAGAGATGCAAATGTCTTGGTTTTGTAGCTTCTGGGAGATGGCTTTAGCTGTTGCTGATCTTGCCAGCTGAATGAGTTATCTGTGCTATGGAAGAGATTTTCACACTGATGCCTTGGGGTTTTTTGTAGAAAGGACTATCTATCCCTCCTGTAGCTTATGGTTGTCTGGTGCTGCCCACCTCTTCCTTCTGTCAGCCCAAAATGGAGGCTTTTGTTGCTTATAATTATCCACAGTGCCATTTGAATTTCCTTTTGGAAGAGGTAAGAAGCATGATGTTCAGGTGTCATTTTCTAAAAGTGCTTCTGTTTCTTCCCTATTCCTGGATAGTGGATTTGAAAGCAATGGTCTGCTGTTTTCTGTGTAACAATGTTAGCAATGCTACTACCATGAGAAAACAGGCTGCCTTTCCTTGGTGGTTACTCAGGTACCGAGTATTGTCCCACCTTACAAAGGCCTCTTGAGGGAAGACAAGAAAGAAACAATCTGTAGTTTAACACTTGCACCAAAAGCATGGCACTCAGAAAAGTAATGCAGTCTTCTCAGAACCTTCCCTCTCTCTGTCCTGGACCTTCTCCTGATGAGAACTGCCTCTCAGGTTGCAAAAGACTGGGGCAGAGGGTTTATGAAGAACAGTATCATTCTTGCACTTGGAAATGAGATATGAAAGCAGTTACTTCTATTATGAGTTTGTTTGCAGGGGTTTTTTTATAGCAACACTGGGCTATGACCTAAAGGGCTGATGAAACTGTCAAATGGTTTTTGACCATGAAATAGTTTTTAGCTTCACACTCAAAAGTCTTTATACAGATTGGCATTACTGTAGTGATTGACCCAGCTCTCTCAATGTCCTTGCTTGGGTAGATGTTAATGCAAGTAGACCATGGCATGTGTATTATTCTAGTAGTCCTACACTGTTTGACCTTCATTTACCATCAGGAAATGAATTATGGCTGGGTAGACTCCTGTCAGTGCAGTGGTCTGAAACTGGGTCTTGAAGCTTCTCTGGAAGTATTGATGATAAAAGGTGAATGCAAAGTTTTTCTTTCATCTCTATTACCAGGTCTCTGCCCAGCAGAATTGCATTGAACTAAAACTGTAGTTTGACTCTCAGGGAGAGGCTGCACATAAGGCAATTGCAATGCTTTGGTGTTAGCTAAGAGAGAATGCAAAGCTTCTATTGAGATTTAAAGTACTGAGTTAGTTGATTAGAAATACAAGGTGTTACTTTGAAGTGTTCTCTTGCTAGATGTTCTGCTTCTCAAGTATCCCTTCTGACAATGACTTTTGAGGAGTCCTTTCTGACCTCTTCACTTGCATCAGTTTATTGTTCCAAATACTAACTTTAAATTTTGAATCCTCACTTCTCCTTGAAGTGAGTTCTTCTATTATCTCAGGTTGCTCTGAACTGATAGTTGTTACAGATGGCTTGTTTTGTAATGTTATATCTATATCACTGTGAATAGCTAGGAAGGGAGGGACAGAGAGAAGCTGGGGAAAGAAAATTTACTTTGCTGTGTGTGGAATTTTTTTTTTTTTTTTGGCAAGTCAGAAGTGATGGACCTTCTCTGTTACTCTCTTCTTAGCAGAATTATAGACATCTGAGATAAAAATCTGTGTTATTTCATCATGGTGGGCCATGATAGGATCAGTGGGATAAGGTTACAAAGATCAATATTTAGATGTTTTGGTAATTCCTTTGCTATATTTTAAATTTCAAAGCTAGATCTGGAGCAAATTATTATTTGTCCCTTGATCAAAGTACTGCTTGGAGTAAGAGGCTGAACCAAGTTATTTTTCAGAGGGACCTTCTTCATAACATTCTCTTTTTTGGGCCATTGTTTGCATTTGCTCACTGTTATTTTGACTTTCAGCCAGAGGCTCATTGTTTGCATCATTGTGCATGGTTATTTAAAATACATATTTCATCCTAAAATCTAAAACTTCTATTTCTATACTGCTTAAGAAAAAACTTCCTTCAGTTTCAATCTTACAATTCTTTGCAGTGTAAGATTACACATGATGTGGCTAAGATTTTTTATTAACCTTTAATATTCTTTACAGAGCTATTTTCCTGTCCATTTGTTATGTGCTTATCTACTTTGTCACCAATAGACCTGTTAGAGTCATATGGATGGCCTAGTTATAAAAGGGTAATTGTGTGTATTTTTGCACACATGAGAGCAGGAATGGATTAGATCAGTTTATGCCTCGTTGATGGCTGAGGTCTAGCCAATGACTGAAACAGAGCTGGAAAGTTTAGCACACTATGACTGATTGTTTCAACAAAGACTTAAACTTCATAGGCACTTAAAAGACATTTTTCCCTTAGGGATGGAACTTTCCCTTACACTTTTTGTAGAAGAAACAAGTGTGTCCCATCCCCAGAGTGCTTTCCTTCAAAAGGCAAGGAGACAGAGTACGGCAGGCAGGACTGTAGGTGGTAAAACAGAGAATCACCAATATGTGGTTACGTTTTGTAGGAATTCAGGCTGCGTGTGTCTGTTCTGCACAGCTAAATGCAGAGCTGTTAACAGGCCAAGGTAAGTGCAGTGTGTAGTCCACAACAAGCTAGATTTTTAAAAAGGAAGAGTTAACCACGTGTCCACTTCTGGCTCACTAGGATAAGACTTGTTTCCCTTTGTGAAGGAGAGGGATTGATATGGAATACTGCTGACTTTGATTGCTGCTGGAGCCCTGCAGCTGAGATGAAATGGAAAGCATCATGCAGCAGAAGCAAGCAGCTGCTCTCATTTACCCTGGACAACCACAAAGGGCTGAGCAGCCTTTGCCTTTGAATTGACATCATGTTCATGCTGGCAGCACCAAAACACTGTGTCTCATGAGAGTGGGGGGAAAAAAAGACTGTCTGATACACAAGAGTCACCATTGTTATCAGGAGATGTAGTGTGCTTGATCCCTCTGTACTGAGGGAACAAAGGGCCTGGAGATCTGCCAGCTCTCTACAGGTAAGTAATCCTCTGCTGGCAGCAATCTTTCTTGCAGCCATCAGTGGAACAAGTTCATAAAAATCCTCTCATAGTGCAGGAACTGTCCTGGTAGCAGACTATAGTTACGCAGCTCCAGCGAGTAAAGTGGTGTATGATACCTGGTGTGATGCTGGAGAGGGGGATTTTGATCAGAAACCCATGGTGGGAAGAAAGGCTGTGCCAGTGAAGTGAAGAAACATAGTGCCAGTGAAGAAACATAAAGCTGAGGGGTCAGTATGAGATAGCAACAGGAAACCCCTTGATGAATCATCAGCATTAGGCAGATGTTTAAGGAATCTAGTACTTTGTGGTTTAGGGTGCTGTGACAAGAATTATTCTGGATCATCTACTTTTATTCTTGTGGCAACATTTAACACGTGTTCATTCCTAACAGGTTTGCTGTATAGCCTAAAGTAAAGCTGTCACAAAGCCAGAGGTCAGTTTTTGCTGCTTGGTCACCTTTAAACAGTAACCTGAATAATTAAATTAGTCAAAACCACTCCTACTCTGTAGAATTGAAGGGAAGTTCCTCATATTTAGGACCAAGTCCATGTATGCTAATAACAGCTATTGAGTTGCATTTTAGAGCCTGACTCAAACGTGGAATTCCCTTCTTCTGGCATGTCAAGTGAATCCAGGTGTGCCCTTATAAACACTGCCCTCCTACAGACATTAGAGCAGGGGAAAAGAAATTAACATTTTGGACTTATATTTTCACAAATTTTCCTAACACTTTTCAGTCGCAATTTCCAAAACTTGCCTGCTCTCAGTAGCACTCTTCTTGCCTGGATATTTCATTCTTCATCTTGAGTCAGGAAGGCAGCAATACAGAGGTGAGTTGTGTCATGCCTAAACTTTGTGCCTACAAGGGCACAGTCAAGGGTTTTGCCCTTTGTTCCAAGGCAAGCGCTCTAGGGGCTAGAGAAATCTGTGCCAACTCTGACCATATTTTTCTTTCATTCTTTCCTTAAGGAAAACGGCCTCTGCCAGATCCTATTCTCTGCTGTCTGTGTTTTCAGTTAATGTTTCATTTCAGATTCTGCTTGGCTGACA